ACTGTGTCACTCATTTGTATATTTGTATAGCTTACTATTATTATTATCATTACTGTTATTTTCAATTTTATTGTAGTTTAGTTATTAAATTGTTCTGTTCTTAACCCACGAGTCTCTTTTCCCTTTACCCCTTTAATTCTCTCCCCCATCCTGGGGAAGGGGAGCGAGTGGTGTTTGTGGTGCTTGGCTGCCAGCCAGGATCAAAACTATCACAGGCATTCAAAGTGAGATCAGCTTGGACTTCCAAATTTCATTCTTGAGCTGAAGCACATAAAACACTTGAGTGTCATCATTTCTAAGTTCCCCTGCAGTTTCATCTCTAAAACCTTATGTTCTGAATAGTAGCCATTTGGAAATCCCACCCCCACCCCCCCCTCCCCGTATGCGTACTTTTCAAAAGATATGGTCTACAACTTGCTTTGGAAAAGACCTAAGAAAACTACTTGAGCTACCTCAAGATGTACTTCTCTTTGCTTTCTTAGTTTTGTATTGTTCCATTGTGTTTCATGGTATGACACTGGTTCTTAACTTGCAGGCCAGGCTGGCGTCTCTTGTATATTCTTATCCTGCTTTAATCTCTTTAATTACATAAGTGTACTCATCTGTTCTAACATTTCATACGTCAGAAATCTACTTGATTTTTTTCTTCCTTTCCCTCTGGAGTCCTTTGCGTCATTTACTTTTCATAACTATTTAACTAAAAGTGCTATATACAAAAGCTACTGATTGCTTCATTAAATGTAACATATGTTAAGTTTCCAGTCATTGCACCATCTAGATGCTGTATTGCTCTAGCAAAACAATAAGTGCAAATAAGAACTTCCATTTATCTGCTATGATTGGATTACATTTTGTTAGTGAGTTGTTTTATCTCCTCATAATGAGTGCCATTGTTCATTTTGTTCCTACAGGAACTTTTCAAAAGTGCATTAGAACATGTTAGAAGCTTAATAATATATCAATAATGTATGGTAATTTTCCAGGCAGTTTCAAACAGCAGTCTTAAATTGATTATGCAGTATGGGAATAAAGTGGTGAAGCAATGCTGAGAAGTGACTGTTTGTGGAGCACTCCTTGAAAATTCGAATGACAGGTTTCAATCCAAATACCAGAACAGTTTTTATCCCAGGACTAATATTCCCACCTACGTACTGAGACCCAACAAAAATCTCAGTAGCCTACTTATGAACCACAAACATCTTTTTAATTAAATACCAGCACTTTGTTTCTTTTGTTCCATACAGACTTGTGTTAAACTGAATAATTATTTTCATTCTATGGTCTAAATGACCATTAAATAAACCAGTCAATAAGAAAGATTTGGGGAAAGAAAGTAAAAATGTTATATTTTTAATATCTCTATAAAAATGCATAATTTTATTATTTTTAGTATATGAATATGTTAGTAAAAACACTGATTCTGATAAATGAAATTACTCTATTTTCCTCCTTTACTTTTTTAAGGACTTTGTGTCTTTATAGGCAAGTATACACTTGGAATCCTCTTTTCTTTACATTTTTCTTCCTCCCAAATATTTTTTCATTGGTACTCCCCTCTTTATATACTTGTATAGTGTCCTTCCTTCTGTTCATTTCAATTTCATATTTTCTCCCGTTTCTTTATTTTTGGTCTAAATGGATTTCTTTCTCCTTCTAAATGTCTTTTTCTTTGTGTTTTCCTCTTTCTCTTTCATATTCATGAATACTTTTTAGCATCCTGTTAGCCGCAGCCCCTGCAAATTACAGTAGTGAAGCTCTAAACTCACTGAGCTCACCACTTAGCTATCAGTAGTAAACCTTCTTCCACTATGTAGCCTGACTATTGCTTCATCCCCAACAAAGTATCTCATTCAGCGTTCCATATAAGGTGAAGCAATCTGTATTTAAATCAACTCAACCCTTGCTTTTCTCCTGAAAATACAAAAATTCTAGAACAAATAAACAAACAAAAAGCTTGTGTGTCTTCAAGCTGTACTATATTTCTCTTCCTAAATGTATATATGTACTGAGACTTCAGCCAGTATTCTGCAGAGACACTCTTCTACAAAATTTAAATTGATCTACAAATGTGCTACTTGTAGAATCTTTTCACATCTTCATTTAAAAAAAAAAAAAAGTAACAAGTTGATGTAGACATTCATCTTGTAGGTGTTTTTTAGAAGGTTCAGGAAATGCTGAAACATTTTGTTGACTAACACCTTTAATACTTAGGTAAGTGTTTCTTGGTGCTAATACACAAACAATAATCTTGGGATTTAAAAGACTTTTGGAAGGGTTTTTACTTTTTTTTAATGACATTGAACTGTTATACACCAGACAGTTTTTTCAGATAAATGTTAATTTCTTTTGTAAGATATAAATAAACTGTGAGGTGTATAATTGTTTCCTTGTTCCATAAATTATCTTGACAATGCAAAGCTAAGTAATGATTTTAAAGAAAATGAAAATTGAAAAACTTTTAATCAGTTTCTGATATGTTTTGGGAATTATAATCAAATTTAGAAACAAAAAGTGTCTTCTTATATTTTTTAATGATTCTAAGACTTTCTCTTTGCTTTGATGATCTGTTATTTGAGTTTTCTTTGATTGAAGTTGTTTTTTCCGGGAGTTGGAGTTTTTGATAGTCATTTCAATCAAATAGAGTAATATTCAGTGAAATGTATTGAAAATGTAACTGAGGTATTGCTGTTTGGTTTTGTGTACACTTTGATGAAGTGGAGTGAATAGGCCACTTTATCACAATCCGTATAGATCAAGAGAGATATTACAATGTTGTAATAATTCAGTGAGTAGAAAGACCATTCCCCCAAAATCTAGTCCTGTGAATGTGGTTTTGTATCATTCCTTTTTTTTTCTCTGAGGTTGAAAGAGATTTCAGCATACAGACCAGCCTAACAATGAGTATATAGCTGTTAACAATTACAAAACCTTGCTTGTCATATGGAGAAGGGTATACTTCAAACTAAGTCTCTTGATTCAGATCTACCATAGGTAGACTGGTCACAGTGTGGTGTGACTGCAATAAAAATAACAATAATGCAGTTCCATTTCAGTAAAACACTTGGAACACATGCCCAAAAAAATATATCTGCAGCTAATTAGAAAATGCACTCTTGTGTTTATAGCTAAACAATTCAGAGAATATGTAGAAAATTATCTAAAAGATTAAGTGCTACATTAAATCAAGGCTAGAGCATTTGGCAGTCCTATCACATCTTGCAGCCATAGATAACAATACAACAATGATAGGGCCTTCACATGAATTCCATAAAATAAGTAAAGGAAATTACTCCTCTTTCACAGATGGAAACTTTGACATAAGGCCCATTTTCATTGAAAAACAAATCTTATTTTACTTCAGTTAGAGAAATTGAATGCCCTTTTTCTAAATTTAGAATTTTATTCAAAGAAAGTATGATTGATTATTGCACTACTGCTTATGGGCCAAACTGTGGTTTCTGTCAAGTACACAAATCAAGTTTTTACCTGTCAATCACAGGAAATCACATGTATATTTTGAAGCAAAAACACTATCTTGACAAGTGGAATTCCAGTCTTCTGATACCATTCTGCCCTGAGCTTCAACTGAGAACTTCATGTTTTCCTTCTTTTAATATATTAAATTAATATCTTTGGTTTGCAACAAGATATATTGTTAAATCTCTCAGAATGTGTCATATTTGCTTTGATATGTGATGTCTGATGAATGACCTAGGCAAACTGCAGACTTTGTCCGTGACTTAGTTCTGCCGTTTGACATTGTGGATAATTCCAAAATTATTTGATGAGTGCTGCTGTAAAAATAAATGGTGATGACAATGATGATGAATGAAGAACATAACAGAACCATATCCATTGCTTCTCAATTTATCAATCTAATCAATAAATTACTTTTTTAATAAAGATTTTAATACTGTTACAGGTTAATAAATGGTGTCCATTTGCAATTCAGCAAACATGACTTTAGGAATGTAAAGGAGAATATTGTATTATTTGTGCCCTGTGATTTGGACATTATTCTTTCTGATTGTTTTATTTGATATTATATTACCACGTGGATAAACTCAATATATAATATAGTTTTTAGTAATGATCAACAATACTATAGTATATTTTGTTAAGGTAATGAAGTGTTTGAACATCCTGTTTCTAAATCTTTGCTGACCACTACAGAAAGAATGTTTGTGTGAGAGTTATTAAATTTACGCAATAGCAGTCTTACTTAATTTTATTTTTTTTAAAATTAATTTATCTGAAATATAAAGACATGTATTGTAATACTGTTAGAGCAAAGTTGTGTAACAAATGAATTTGGTATTTAATTCTATGAGAACATAAATCATTGTCATGAGATAAAGTATATATTTTAAAAAGTATATAAGCTCTGAAGGACAATCAGTGTAACAAAGGAACACTTAGTCAACAGTGCTAAACATCAGCATACAGAAAGCTGTTTGATTTCAGATAAATCTATTGATTTATTCCGATGTATTTCTTTGGAGGTATATGTAGCGGAAATTTCTGTATGTCCAAGTTTTGACTCTGCTATAGACAATGTAGGATCACGATTTTTTATAAATTGTTGGCTGAACTATTTCAGTACACCTAGGTTTTCTGCTGACTCAAGTGAGAGTCTACTGAGACATATATAGGTGGCTGTTAAAATGGTGATTATTTCAGACAAGATTCCACCTGTACTGTACATTTAAGTCTCTTCAAAGACTTTTGACAGACTGGCATGATACCATTACACTTCAAGAGTGTGGTAGTGGTGGGAAGGCAAATGTGAAGAAAGGGGATGATTCATCCTATTCTAACACAACCACATTTCCTTGTGGAAAAACTTGACCTGTTCAGATGTATCTTAGGCTCTACGGAAAAACAGAGCTTTAATTTTTAATTATTTTCTTTTACAGGTCATACATATGGGATGGGTAAATGAGAGACTTGAAGGAACTGATTCATCTCAGCTCTACAAATTCAGGTTTCTGGCACTGAAGGGTTCATCCTTCTACATTTTCAGCACTCCACCGGTAATAATATTTTTGTGAAAGTTTCAATGTAAATGTAAACCTGTTTGTTACGTCTGGGTTTGTTTTATCTTACTGATTGAAGTTGTCAGATGAAATTTCAAAGGAAGTTAAAGCCATAGATGCCACTGAATTTCAATAGCTTTAGATATTTAACCTCTTTCAAGGTCCTCTACCCTACCCTACCCTACGTGGGTAGTTTGAATAATTCCTAATAAGGAGTAAGTGTTTTACTTTTTAAAGTTGTTAAGTTCAGATTTTTCTCTGCTTGGTTAGACCCAACATTTCTTATTTATATTAAGATTTTTTGGAGTTGTAATGAGTTGGTAGTTGCTCTGTTTTCTTAAAGACTAGATACATTATGAAATATACCATCCATGCCATTAGTAGACACTAGTGGATTTTGCACACAGTCAAGGGATTGCACTGCTACAGAGAATCCAGTGCTAATTGTACAGTTTGAACAAGTGACATCATCTTGCTTTGACAATTTATGTAGCTAGTAATGAGAACTGTTTGACAACAGATGAATTACCTAATATTTCTCTCAAAAAAAACCCTAATAAAAATTAATTTAAAAGAATGAAACAGAAATGAGCTGCAGAATTCTAAACTCTTGAAAAATGGCCCATACTTACCACATGGGGGATTTTTTGTCCTTTCTTTCTTTTTTTCTCTTGAGAGCCTTTGCTTTAAACAAATCAAAAAGAATAAATTGTGGAATTAGAATGCAATTTCAAGTATGCAGCTTCCTTACGGTTTTGCTCAGAAGGTGGTCAGTCTCCACATTTCTTCAGCTGATCCAAAGAAAATCTGACGCTTTACACATGTACCATCTGCAGTACCTTTGGGAAGTACATACTCTTCAAACTTTATTTATGAACCTCAATGAGCAGTCAGTGACATTTTTTCTCTCTCTAGATTGAAATTCTAAATCTAGTGATTCCTATTAACTTCAAGCATTTTTAAATACCCAGTAGTATTCTTTCTAAAATGAGATAACACTTCTGGGAAAAGGGGTTTTTTTCACCCTCTAAAAAATTATTTTTGTATATGTTAAGTGAAGGAACTAAAATTTGATTCAGTTACTACAATCCAACTAAAATGCAAAACCAATACAAAAAATTGAACAAATAAATAGCACACCACGTGAATGTTCTTCCTTTATAAATTTTAATTATTGCTTTCAGACCTGGTTTTGAAGAAACATTTTTAATATAATTAAAACTATCTATCTACATGATACCAATTAGGTATCAACTACTTCATTTGTCATTTTCAACACTCTACTAAGAACAGACAAGAACAGTAGAATGGTGGTAGAATTTGCACCATGTTACCTGTCAGTATCTACTTCACCCTATTCTGTTTCTGCACAATATTTTTGTACAAACAGGGACTTTTCAAAAAAAATGAACAAAGGGGACCCAAAATGTTGACCAGTTGTCTTGACATTTAGTCATACACAGATGTTTCATACCGGGGAAAAAAAGCAAAACAGGAAATTGGCAGTTTCCAGCAACCACCCACCTGGAGAACCCAAATCTGGATCTAAAGCCACATTTTGATTATTATCAGTGCCCTGAGGACACCTCCACACTGTCCCTGACATTCTTCCCTGGAGCTTCCTCCACCTTTGCTGCAGCCCAGGGTCCCATTGCAGCTCCCCTGGGGCCACCAACCCCTGACCCAGCAGCACAGCAGAGCTGGGCTCCAGCTCCCCACAGCCCTGACCTGCCAGCCAGGGGCCCATGAGCCAGGCCTACCCACAGACCACATCCAGGCCTGGCCTCAGCCTGTCCCTGACCCCAGGGAGGCGCCTGGTGCCCGGAGCTGGGGCTGTCCCCAGTCCCTTGGGCTGTCCCCAGTCCCTGGAGTGCCCTGATCCTCTCTGGGGGGGGTGCACTAGCCTGGCTGGGATGGAGGTAACTTTCTTCATAGCAGCCCGTGTGGCAGTGGGTTTTGTATTTGTTACTGAAACAGCACCAGTGATCTGGCTGTTGCTGAGCTTTGCTTGCACAGCATTTCTCTGTCACCGTGGAGATAGACAAGACATTGGGAGGGTACACCGCCAGGACAGATGACCCAAATAGGCCAAAAGGGATATTAGGTACTGTAAAACATCGTGCTCGGCAATAAGAAATGGAGATTTGGTCTTGAAAAATAGCCCTTGCTTGGAGACTGGCTGGGCATCAATCTGCTTGAGGTGGGCAGGGTGCAATCACCCTTGCGTTGCTTGGTTTGTTTCCTCTTTCCAGCACTTATTAAACTGTCTTTATTTTGACCCACGAGTTTTCTTGATTTTGGTCTTCCTATTCTCTCTCCCACCACGCTGCGGGAGGACAGGGAACTAGGGAGTGACTGTGGGGGTGCTTAGCTGTTGGAATGGGTCAGCCCACAACAGGGCGAGGACCCTGCCCTGCCAGACCCTGGGGGGAGCTCCCCCAGAACCCAGGGAGCCACCAACCTTCACTGCGCCCTTACACTGGTTCTGCGTCACATGTCCCAGCTCTGTAGCTGGAAACAGAGGTACCCACACGAAGAAGCCAGGCATAGATCTCTTTCACTGTTTTTGGAGATATTTAGTTGTACGGCCCTTACTATTACTTCCACTGACTTGTTTTTACTATGTTAGGTGAAAAATTAAAGAGTGTTCTGTCACAAAAATACAGATGTTTTAACTGCTTGATTAACATTATGTTTCATTTCAGAGATGTTTCTATGATGGTATTGCTGTTTGCATACTGAATCAATGTGGTATATCAGTGTGTCACTGTAGTGTGCACAGAGTAGGTGACCTACAAGTGATAGTTATCTAGTTGTAATGACCATATCTGTATTTTTACAACTGGTTGTAAAAGGATCTGTCACATTTTCTACTCTTTCTATTTCATTGTGCTTAAAAGATGATATGAATGTAAATACAGCTGCTAACTTTCATAAGAATGGAAAACATAGTTACCCATGGGGAAAAATAGAGGAAATACTTGGAAAAAATGTGGATATTATAATAGGAAAGAAATTACTATGGAGAGTAATATTCTATTTATACTCCATTTCAACAGTATCTCAGATGATGTTTACAAAAATGTAGAAGCTTCACCATAGAAGTAAATATCACAGTGTGATTAACAGAGAATGGTCTTTCTGCATCCCTAAAGTGGCTTATCTGACTGTATTTGAGAAATTTGAAGATTTCATTTACAGATTACTGTATTAGAACTGTGACACGTTTCTGAAAACTGCACGTGAAAAACACCACTTCACAAACAGAATTTTTTCTTGTGTCAATATTAATATACAAGCAGTACTTTATTACATTCTAAAAGCATCTAATGAATTTCTGTCAATTTTCAGATCTTGAAAATATTCTGAATTCGTATCCTAGAAGAAATTGGGGAGACATTCAAAATTGTCATTCAAAAAAAACCCTATTTTTTATGTCCTTGAAAATTTCCAGAAAAATTAAATGTTTTGGTTTTATGGAATATGTGCTGTATGTAGGGGAAGATTGTACTGTTTGATGTTTTGTGTCTTCCTCATAGTTCACTATGGTTTTTAAATTCAAGTCTTAAAGTAGACATATCTTTGGAGGTGTCGTCTTACCTTTAATTAGAAAAGTATGTTTTTCAACATGATTAAATAACGCTGAAGTGATTTACATGAAGGCAGCTAGGCAATCACTGCATATGCTGCATGTAGTTTTAATAAAATAAATAAATACTAGATTAATATGAAAGAAACAGAAATAGTTCCACCTTCGAAAAACATTACGAAGAAAAGCTTGCATAATGTTATTAGCATATGAGCCGTGCTTTGAATGTTAGAGTACTGCTATGTAAGTACTGAATACTTGTAATTTACATTATATTATATAATGTCAATGTAACATATTGGGAAA